TGTCAGGTTTCGATGTCATCTCAAATAAATTGCACTCCCAAACAATTAATTTTTGCTGAAATATTCCATTTATTGAGTACGACAGATCTGGCCCCGACTTCGTCGTAGCCGATACTAACCCTCTGACCCCCAAACCCTTCCCTTTCCGTTCCCCAATTCTCATCTTCTCATTGGCCATCTTCCAAGTCAGTCTCCCCAGCTTCTGACCTTACCCACAGGAATGTTCCCCCCACCATCCCATCTCCTAGGGGATATTATCTACAGAGAAAATAAGTAGGTGAAAAGTCAAGCCTCGTCTTTTTATGGCAGCATCAGAATGCTGACAGGATTGTCCACTAGGACTCCGAGGTCCCTCTCACAGTTCCTATTTTTGAGCCAGGTTTCGCCTAATCTGTACTTGTACCTTTGATTTTTCCTGCCCAGGTGTAAAACCTTGCCTCAATTTGTCCTCAACTTACACCCACAATCGGTACCAGGATTTCTGTTAACTAAGCAAGGAAATCAGTTGTGCCTGATTTTACAGCCTTTTTGCCACTCTTAAGCAAATCACTGCAGTTGTTAAGTGAATCATCTGGTCATTAAGCAAATCCAGCTTCCCCCAGTGACTTTGCTTGTTGGAAGCCAGCCAAGGGAAGTTTGCAGTGGTGATCACATGATCCTGGGAACTGTCATACATGCTGCAGCTGTTGTAAGTGCGAGGAATGGTCATCCTCAGTCACTTTTTTTCCCCACTGCCGTCATAACTTTGAAAGGTGGCTATGTGAATGGTTGTAAATCAAGGACTACCTGTACCATATTTTGACATATTAACCATGGACAATTCCAGAGGGCAGATCCAGGAAGGTTGGGTAGTTCCTTACAAAATCAGAATTCTGTGGAGCTAAACAGTTCAGTCACTTGCTCCTACCCAGCCATATTGTGATTTTTTTTATGGAGATTCTTATCATAGATCGATGGCGATGCTGACGAAACCAGATGAATTCTGCATCTGTTATCTTTTTCGTCTGGCTGGGATAACAGATTCGTTGTTTAAAGCAGCCATATTGTCTGTGATAGTTTGTAGAATGGGACTGCAATTAACCATTGATTAATTTTCAGTGTTTTATGTGGGTTGTGTAATAATAATAATAATGTTGATTTGTTCCTTTTTCTTGGATTGCTTTTAGTCCAAATTATGGAGGAAATTGTACTGTTCCTTCATGATTGGTGTAATCTTTAAACCCAGTAAAATAAATTAAAATAAAATTATAAAATAAAATCAATAATAATAATAAAGAATTCCTCTTTGATGATCTTAGTAACTTTTGGTTATGATACGAGTTGTGCATATTGGCTTGATGTTTTAAGTTTCTCTCTCTCTCTCTCTGACCATGTAAACTGATTAGATTTATTTTCATTTATTTATTTTCATTTATTTATTTAATTAATTTATTTTAGTTGTCACATTAGCCGATGACAAAAGTGAAGAGAAATAAATAAGAGCATCATTTGCCCCTACAGTGACCCCAATACAAGTGATCCTCGACTTATGACCCACAAATGAACCCAAAATATCTGTTGCTAAGTGAGACCTTTGTTAAGTGAATTTTGCCCCAATTTACGACCTTTCTAGCCGCCGTTGTTAAGCGAATTGTTGCACTTGTTAAATTAGTAACACAGTTGTTAAGTGAATCTGGCTTCCCCATGGACTTTGCTTGTCAGAAAGTCACAAAAGGGGATCACAGGACTCCGGGACACTGCAACCGTCATAACTATGAGTCAGTTGCCAAGCATCTGAATTTTAATCATGTGACCTCAGGATGCTGCAACGGTCGCAAGTGTGAAAAACTGTCACACTTTTCCAGTGCTGTTGTAACTTTGAACGCTCACTAAATGAAACGTCTGTCAGCACTCCAAACTACATTCATTCCAGTGCTGACATGAGGAGAAGAGGGGGCAGCTGGCAAGAGGACGTTTGACTTTTCACCTACTTATTTTCCCTGAAGATAATATCCCCTAGGAGATGAGATGGGAGGGGGAACATTCCTGGGAGCTGAAGTAGTAGATATGGGGAGAGTGATTTGGAAGATGGCCAATGAGACGCAGAGAATTGGGGAATGGAAAGGGAAGGTTTGGGGTCAGGAAGTCAATGTTGGCTACAATATGATCGGGGACAGATTGTCGTGCTTAATAAATGAAAGATTTCATCAAAGACTATTTGTTTGGAAATGCAATTTATTTTGAGACGACACTGAAACCTGACAATGTCGTAAGTCGAGGACTTGCCTGTATTAACTTACCAACTGTAGCGATTGACTTAAACAACTGTGGCGAGAAAGGTCGTAAAATGGGGCTAAAACCCACTCAACAGCTGTCTCACTTAGCTGTATGTATTGCAAGTCCATATGTATGATATGCCATGTGCTAAATAAGGTAAAGGTAAAAGTTCCCCTCACACATACATGCTAGTCGTTCCTAGGGGACGGTGTTCATCTCCATTTCAAAGCCGAAGAGCCAGCGCTGTCCGAATACGTCTCCATGGTTATGTGGCCAGCATGGCTAAACACCAAAGGTGCATGGAACACTGTTACTTTCCCACCAAAGGTGGTCCCTATTTTTCTACTTGCATTTTTTACCTGCTTTCGAACTGCTAGGTTGGCAGAAGCTGGGACAAGGAACGGGAGCTCACCCCGTTAACGCGGCACTAGGGATTCGAACCGCTGAACTGCCGACTTTTTTTTTTTTTAATTGAAAAAGTTTTCAATTACAAATTTTTCCCCCTTTTTCCTCCCCTCCTCCCTAACCCCCCCTCACCACCCCATCCTCCATCCACCGACCTTTCGATCGACAAGCTCAGCGTCTTAGCCACTGAGCCACCGCGTCCCTATATGCGCTAAATAAATATATACAAATGACTGTCTTCCAGGTGGAACAGTTCTGGCGGTTTTACAGCCACATGGTCCGTCCTGGGGACCTGACAGGCCACAGCGACTTCCATCTTTTCAAAGAAGGGATTAAGCCGATGTGGGAGGTGAGTCTGAGGCGAGCTTTGCTTGCTTCCTGGGACTGACATTTCTGCTGTGGAAGTAAGCCGGGCTCAAACCCATTCTGTAGTCTGTCGGGATGCTCTCGCTGTTTCCTGTTGTTCATCCGTTTTTCACCCATTTTTTTGGTGGGAAGGAGAGCCTTTGCCCAACGATCCTGCCAAGGTTTCCACACTGCATTGGTTCAGAATGCTCTGGCCTATAAATTATTGGTTCGATTTTTCATCTACCTTTATTTACTTTATCAGGAAGTCAAGATGGCGGACATTACCTAATACTCTTTCCTCCCTCTTATTTTCCCCTCAACAACAACCGGGTGAGGTAGATTGGGCTGAGAGAGAGGGACTGGCCCAAAGTCACCCAGTCAGCTTTCGTATCCAAGACGGGACTAGAACTCACCACCTCCTAGTGATTGGCTCAAAGTCACCCTGCCAGTTTTTCACGCTAAGGGGGGACTAGAATTCACCATCTCCTAGCGATTGGCCCACAGTGATCCCGTTGGCTTTTATGCCTGAGGCAGGACTGGAACTCATCACCTCCTGGTGATGGGCCTAAAATCACCCAGCTGGGATTCATACCTAAGGCAGGACTAGAACTCACCCCTCTCTGAGTGATTGACCCACAGTCACACTGCCGGTTTTTGTGCCGAAAACGGGACTAAAACTCACGGTTTCCTGGCTTCTCAGCCAGCACCTTAACCGCTGCACCAAACTGGCTCTCCATAAACTGGTGCTGTTTATAGGAACTGCCGCCCACTTTCACACGTCAAGTTTGCAAAAGAGGGAATAGACACGTCTTCTGTTGAAGAATAGAATAGAGTGAATGAGCTGGAAGGGATATTGGAAGTCGTCTAGTCCAGCCCTCTATTCAAGTAGTGACCCTATACCAGTGGTGGGTTCCTCCCGGTTCGGTCCGGTTCGGCCGAGCCGGTAGCAGTGATGATATGACGTCACCGAACCGGTTCTCCCTGCCGCCCTCCCCATGTTATTCTTACCTTTTATTTGGTCCCACCCCCAATCTATTGCTGCCTCCTGAGTCCCAGCTGATGACTAGAGGGAAAAAAACTTGTTTAAACTCTTGCCCTGGGGCTTCAAAGGGCCGTCCTACAGCTGATCAGTGTTAAAAGCAAACAAATGAGTCAGGTCGTAAGTGCGAGGACTGGTCGTAAGTGCGAGGACCTTCCAGAAATGACTGACCAGCTAGCCACGCTCACCTAGTCACATGACCTCCAAGCCACACCCACAAAATAAGCCACGCCCACAGAACCGGTAGTAAAAAAAAATTAGAACCCACCCCTGCCCTATTCCCGTGATGGCGAACCTGTGGCACACGTGCCAGAGGTGGCATATAGAGCCTTCTCTGTGGACACGCGCGCCATTGCCAGCTGCTTTTCTGGTTTCTAGCTGGTCTTCACGGGCGCCGGAAAACAGCTCAAAAAACGGACCAAAACAGCAAAAAAACAGGCTGCTCTCAGGCCATTTTCAGGCTGTTTTTCGAGCCGTTTTTCAGGCTGTTTTTGGCCCCAAAACGGCTTTAAAAATGGCCTAAAATGGCCAAAAACCAGGCATGCGCCTGCCAGCCAGCTGGTTTTTGGGTTTCTGGCACTCCGGTGCATGCACATGCACATTCCGCTTTGGGCACTCGGTGCCAAAAAGGTCCGCCATCACTGCCCTATACAAATGGATGTCCAGTCTTTTCTCAAAAGCCTCCAGTGATGAAGCACCCACAATTTCTGGTGGCCAGCTGTTCCACTGGTTAGTTGTCCTCACTGTTAGGAAGTTTCTCCTTAATTCCAGGTTGCTTCTCTCCTTGATTAGTTTCCAGCCATCGTTTCTTGTCCTGCCCCCCGTCAGAAGAATTGTCTTCTTTTGTCACAGACACCCCCCCACATCAGTACAGCATCCTTGCTCTCTGCAACCTTAACCCTCAAGCCCGTGTTAAGTTGACCCTTAATTTTCTCCCTCTCCCTCTTCCCAGGACGATGCCAACAAGAACGGGGGCAAGTGGATTATCCGCCTGCGAAAGGGCCTCGCATCTCGGTGCTGGGAGAACCTCATTCTGGCCATGCTGGGAGAACAATTTATGGTGGGGGAAGAAATCTGCGGGGCCGTCGTCTCCGTCCGTTTCCAGGTGAGTCGCCGGGGAGTTAACGGGGGATGGCTGCCAATCTTGAGCACAGGGCTGTCCTGTCCCAAAAGTGCTTTTTCAGGAGACAAGTGGACTTCCTTGTTTTTTTTTTCTGCTTCTGCTTCTCATCCAAGAAACTTCTTCGGCTCTGTGTCAGTTTTGGAAACTATATTAAGCCGGAAGCTTCCATGCTGCCGCTTTCTCATGTGCGGGAAAGTAGGAGGGGGGATTTATTTGAGGGTTTTGAATTTAGACAGAATAGCATTCTTCCTGTCGGTCAAGGTCAGGCCGATCCTGCATCTGGAGAAGGAGTGGTCGGAGTGCTGAGTCGAGAAGGGACGGACGTTGATTGGAGCATGTGATCGACTGAGGAGAGGGGGAATGGTTTTTTGGGGGGGGGGGTTGATTTACTGAAGGAAAACCCGGACCTCTCAGATTCGGGGTTTCCCAGATGTGCCAGTTTACCTATTCTAGTAAATACCGTGTTTCCCCGAAAATAAGACCCTGTCTTATATTTTTTTGAACCCCGGAATAAGCGCTTGGCCTTATTTTCAGGGAGGTCTTATTATTTTGGGGCGCGTGGAAGAAACCAGAGTAAATGGCAGGGACCAGCTGTGCATGCGTTTAAATATTTTCAGGGAGGGCTTATTTTCAGGGGGGGGCTTATTTTAACGCATGCGCTCAAAAGCCCGATTGGGCTTATTATCAGGGGATGTCTTATTTTAGGGGAAACAGGGTAGAACTTTGAAAAATGCTTGCGTCAGAGTCTTTACTTGGAGTTGGGGTTTTTCTGGAATGCTGACTCTCTGACTGGATGGCGGGGAATGGAAGGATTTATATTCTTTGCAGACAACTGGTCATTTGCATCCTTTAAGAGAGTTGTTGAGGCCACTTGGAGTCTCAAAGGAGCTTTTTCAGGGGGCAGCTGGACTTTCTTTTGTTGTTTCTCTGAAGACGTTTTGCTTCTCATCCAAGAAGCTTCTTCAGCTCTGACCGGATGGTGGGGGAATGGAAGGATTTATCTACTCCTTGCAGACAGCTGGTCATTTGCATCCTTTTTAGAGAGTCATTGAAGCACCTATTTATTTATTTATTTATTTATTTATTTATTTATTTATTATTTATTTATTTATTTATTTATTTATTAAATTTCTATACCGCCCTACTCCCGGGGGACTCAGGGCAGTGAACAGCCAAGATAAAATACAGATAATACAAACATTAAAAGTCCATTAAATTATTAAATATTTTGGCCGAAAACAAATTTAAAACACCCAATTTGTAAAACAGATTAAACGATTTAAAAATTTAAAAGGGAGAGTCAGGCCAGTCCAGCCTGCTGAAATAAAAATGTTTTGAGAGCACGACGAAACGTGCGCAGATCCGGGATCCTCCGTATCTCCGGGGGGAGCTCGTTCCAGATGGTAGGTGCCCCCACAGAGAAGGCTCTCCCCCTGGGGGCCGCCAGTCGACACTTTTAGCCGACGGCACCCTGAAAAGCCCCTCTCTATGGGAGCGTACTGGTCAGTGAGAGGCTATTGGTAGCAGAAGGCGGTCTCGTAAATACCCCGGTCCGATGCAATGGAGTGCTCTAAAGATGGTAACCAAAACCTTGAAGTGCACCCGGAAGACCACCGGGAGCCAGTGCAGCTCGTGCAGGAGGGGGGTCACATGGGAGGGCCCCGTCACTCCCATAACCACCCGCGCGGCCGCATTCCGGACCAGCTGGAGCCTCCGGGTGCTCCTCCCCATATAGAGAGCATTGCAGTATTCCAGGCGGGAAGTGACGAGAGCATGAGTGACCGTATTTAACGAGTCCCAATCCAGAAAGGGACGCAACTGGCGAATCAGGTGGACCTGATAAAAAGTCCCCCTGGCCACAGCCTGGCCTAGAGGTTTACCTGTGTCCTCGGGGTCACCTGAGTGGTGCAAATGGTTCCTGTCGTCTGCAATTTTTCCTCCGGAAATCCATTCCTACTCCCACATCATTCCAAGGGTCCCAAATTGTATAGCTAAAAGTCTGTAGAGATTCTCAGCCATCCAGGTCATGGTTGCCCCAAAGGCTGTCCTCTTTTCATCGTCTCCTGGCGGTTCTCCTTGCAGGAGGACATCATCTCCATATGGAACAAGACGGCCAGCGACCAGGCCACCACAGCCCGGATCAGGGACACCTTACGACGAGTCCTCAACCTTCCCCCCAACACCATCATGGAGTACAAAACGCACACGGACAGCATCAAGTACGTGCTGCGGCGAGGGGGGAGGGCTCGCGGGTTGCTGGAATGCACTTGATTCTGTGTCCTTACGGGCCGAAGGTTGCTTGAACCCAAAAACGTAATGCGTGCATGTTCTGTTGCGGGGGGGGGGGGATGTCTCATCAGGGCTGTGAACCCCCTAGCTCAGCAATTTGCAAGCTCTGTATCCTGAAGAGCAGAACTGTGACTGCTCCCCTCAGGAATGCGCTCTGCCCCAGAGATCCTAGGACAGTGATAGCTAACCTTTTTCTCGTTGTGTGCCAAAAGCGCGCGTGCCGGCACCCATAATGCAATGCGCGCATGACTCCCCTGCTCCCCCGCCCCCCCCCCCCACACGCAACCCCCCCCCGCTCCACCACCACCCCCGTGCATGCGTGCACGACCATCCATGCCACCTCTGTGCATGCACACAGGACACCACCACCCCCCGCCGCCAGGGATGGGTTCTACTTACCTTTACTACCGGCTCGCGCGCATGTGCAGAAGCGTTTTGTTGACGTCGGAGTGGGTGGGCGGAGCCTCCCTCTGGTTTTACTACCGGTTCTATAGAAGCGGTCCGAACCGGGGGCAACCCACCACTGTCCCCCGCTCCCCCCAGCCCCATGTGCATGCACGTGTGACACCCCCCGCCCCCTATTTTGGGCCTAACAGGCCTTCCTGCAGCTTTCTGGGCCTAAAAATGGGATGGGGGGTACGCCCCTGCCCCCGTGCGCTATCCCTGCCCTGTTGCGCATACGTGAGTCCCCCCTGCGCATGTCTGCGCATCTCCTGCGTGTGCCCCGCCTCCCCCACGCATCCCAAAAATCAGCTGGCCAGCGGGAGGTGCACACACACGCATGCGCGGTGGAGCTGAGCTGGGCAACGGCTCGTATGCCCGCAGAGAGGACTCTGCATGCCAGCCATGGCACAATTGCCATAAGTTCGCCATCACGGTCCTAGGACAACTTTTTTTGAATTCTCCTTCACTTCTTTCCGACTGACAGGCAGGGAATCGGTTATGGCCTTTCATACCATCAGGAACTTGACATTAATACAGATAGTCTCCGACTTAACGACCACGATGGAGCCCGAAATTTGTGCCGCTAAGCGAGACAGTTGTTAAATTGCCCCATTTTACGACCTTTCTTGCCACAGTCGTTTAAGTGAATCACTGCAGTTGTTAAGTCGGTAAACACGGTTGTTAAGTGAATCTGGCTTCTCCCTCGACTTGGCTTGTCAGAAGGTCGCAAAAGGGGATCACGTGACACACACACACACACACACACACACCCCGAGGACACTGCAACCGTCATAAATATGAGTCGGTTGCCAAGTGTGTGAATTTTGATCATGTGACTGCGGGGATGCTGCAACGGTCGTAAGTGTGAAAAACGGCCATAAGTCACTTTTCTCAGTGTCATCGTAACTTCGAACAGTCACTAAATGAACGGTTGTAGGTCGAGGGCTATCTGCATTAAGCTATCTCTAAGCCAGCATTTCTCAACTTCGGCACTTTTAAGATAAGCTTGGCCGCTTTAAGACTCGTGGACTTCAACTCCCAGAATTCTCCAGCCATCTAGGCTCTATGTCAGAGGCCTTCAAACATGGCAGCTTTAAGACTCGGTGGACTTCAACTCCCAGAATTCTCCAGTCAGCTAGGCTCTATGTCAGAGTTCTTCAAACATGGCAGCTTTTAGACTCGTGGACTTCAACTCCCAGAATTCTCCAGCCAGCTAGGCTCTATGTCAGAGGCCTTCAAACATGGCAGCTTTAAGACTCGTGGACTTCAACTCCCAGAATTCTCCAGCCAGCTAGGCTCTATGTCAGAGTTCTTCAAACATGGCAGCTTTAAGACTTGTGGACTTCAACTCCCAGAATTCTCCAGCCAGCTAGGCTCTATGTCAGAGGTCTTCAAACATGGCAGCTTTAAGACTTGTGGACTTCAACTCCCAGAATTCTCCAGCCAGCTAGGCTCTATGTCAGAGGCCTTCAAACATGGCAGCTTTAAGACTCGTGGACTTCAACTCCCAGAATTCTCCAGCCAGCTAGGCTCTATGTCAGAGGCCTTCAAACATGGCAGCTTTAAGACTCGTGGACTTCAACTCCCAGAATTCTCCAGCCAGCTAGGCTCTATGTCAGAGGCCTTCAAACATGGCAGCTTTAAGACTCGTGGACTTCAACTCCCAGAATTCTCCAGCCAGCTAGGCTCTATGTCAGAGGCCTTCAAACATGGCAGCTTTAAGACTCGTGGACTTCAACTCCCAGAATTCTCCAGCCACTAGGCTCTATGTCAGAGGCCTTCAAACATGGCAGCTTTAAGACTCGTGACTTCAACTCCCAGAATTCTCCAGCCAGCTAGGCTCTATGTCAGAGGCCTTCAAACATGGCAGCTTTAAGACTTGTGGACTTCAACTCCCAGAATTCTCCAGCCAGCTCTGCTTTTTTGGACATACTGGCTGGAGAATTCTGGGAGTTGAAGTCCACAAGTCTCAAGGCGGCCAAGTTTGAAGGCCTCTGCCTTCCACAACTCGAATTTCCCATAGTCACCAGGCTGGCAACTTTTAACATTCTTCGCGTTTGGGAGGCAAAAACGGCAAGAGAAAAAAAAAATACGTGGCGTGACCACCGCTCTGCATTCCTGGAGGAAATTGAAATACAAAAAACTAACGAGGATTTATAAGCCCATTAAGATTTATAAATGCTCTCAAGAAGGCACTATGTAAATTGACTTGCGCCGGCACAAATGATTTCTGAGCGTTACAAATGCTGTATATTAAATTTCCCCCCAGCTCCTTCGGTGACAAGGGCTCTTTAACCAGAACAGAGGATAGTAATATATGGAGGAGACGGCGGTATTTTAAAAGAAGGCTGTTCTGGTTTACCAGAGGAGACCATTCAAGATGACGTTTATTTTCTCGCCAAATGATAAAAGATTGCCACTTATTCAAGAGCTTGGTGTGAAAAATGTGAAAAACACCTCAATGCTCTGTAAGCAAAAGAGGCCGGTCGGATCATGAGGCCTGACGTTAAAAAAAAAAATATTAATCGGAATAAAAGAGACAAAACAGGACAGAAAATAAAATTCAACCCTGAGGAGAGTAAAATGGGGTAGAATCTTCTCCCTGACAGGACGCTTCCCTCACGTCCAAAAAGAATTTTCCGGTAGGATCAGATCAAAAGCCCTCAACTTACCGTAACTGGGTTACAGGTAGTCCTCGGTTTACGACCACACAATGGAGTCCAAAAGTGACGCTGCTCAGTGAAACGTTTGTTAAGTGAGTTTTGCCTCAGTTTACGACTTTTCCTGCCACCGTCGTTAAGTGAATCATTGCGACTGTTAAGTTAGTCACACGGTGGTGAAGCGAACCTGGCTTCCCCGTTGACTTTGCTTGTCAGAAGGGTGGCCAAAGGGGATGATGGCGTGACCCCCCCCCTCGGGACACTGCGACCGTCATAAATATGAACCAGTCAGCCCAGCATTTGAATTTTGATCATGTGACCACAGGGAAGGCTGCGACGGTCGTAAGCGTGAAAAACGGTCCTAAGTCATTTTTTTCATTGCCGTTATAACTTTGAATGGCCATTAAATGAGTTGTTGTAAGGACTACTTGTATTAACAGTGGCAGCAATTTGTATAACAATGGTGGCAAGTAAAGTTGTAAAACGGGTCAAAATTCACTTAACAACAGTCTGGCTTAGCAATGGAAATGTTGGGCTCAATTGTTTATGGAGATTCTCATGGTTGTCATGGTGGTTCCAAAAATACTTTTTTTTTTTTTCAAAAGGCAACTGGACTATGTTTTTTTCTTGAAGATGTTTAGCTTCTCATCCAAGAAGCTTCTTCAACTCTAACCGGACTCCGGGGTCGTAAATCGAGGACTACTTGTAATTATATTGATTGGTTGACTAATCATCAAGTCATTTTTGACACTTAGCAACCACACAGATAGATTTTCTCCAGGACTCTCTGTCCCTAACCTGGTCCACTATAACTGAGTCCATCTACCTTGGGGCTGGTCATCTCCTCCTGTTTCCTTACACGGGAGGAGGAAAATGCTGGCCAAGCGTTGGTCACTGTGTTAGATTTCCACCTGGGGGTTTGGCAATCTAGCTGAACCCCCAAATTCCAGTGAGAGAAATTCCTTCCTTCCTTCCTTCCTTCCTTCTCCGTCCCTCCCTCCCTTCCTAACTCACTCACTCCCTTCCTTCCATTTCCCTCCCTCCCTCTCTTCCTTTCTTCTCCGTCCCTCCGTCCCTAACTCCTTCCCTCCCTCCCTTTCTTCCTTCCTTCCCTCATCTCCCTTCCTTCCTTCCTTCTCTGTCCCTCCCTCCCGCCATCTTTTCCTTCCTAACTCACTCACTCCTTCCTTCCCCCAATCTCCCTCCCTTCCTTTCTTCCTTCCTTCCTTCTCCATCCCTCCCTCCCTTCCTAACTCACTCACTCCCTTCCTTCCATTTCCCTCCCCCCCCTTTCTTCCTTCCTTCCCCCATCTCCCTTCCTTCTCTGTCCCCCCCCTTTCTTCCTTCCTTCCTAACTCACTCATCTCTCTTCCTTCCATAGCCCTCCCTCCCTCCCTTCCTTCATAACTCCTTCCTCCCTCCTTCCCTTCCTAACTCCTCCCTCCCTTCCTTCCTAACTCACTCACTTCTTCCTTCTTTCCTTCCTTCCATACACCTCCCCCCCTTCCTTCATAACTCCTCCTCCCTCCCTCCCTTCCTTCCTTCCTTACTCACTTCTTCCTTCCTTCCTTCCTTCCTTCCTTCCTTCCTTCCTTCCTTCCTTCCTTCTTCCTTCTTTCCTTCCTTCCATACACCTCCCCCCCTTCCTTCATAACTCCTTCCTCCCTCCCTCCCTTCCTTCCTTCCTTACTCACTTCTTCCTTCCTTCCTTCCTTCCTTCCTTCCTTCCTTCCTTCCTTCCTTCCTTCCATACCCCTCCCTCCCTCCCTTCCTTCATAACTCCTTTCTCCCTCCTTCCCTTCCTTCCATATTCCTCCCTCCCTTCC